CAGTTCAGTCCAGTGTCCAAAGAACGGGGATGGCGGGTGCTGCTAGAGGGTTTCAGACGTGGAAGGCTGCAGAGCTGATAGGAGACCGGAGACAAGCAGGCAAAACTATTAGGACAGGGGGCAGGCAGGTTCAAAGGTCAAAATGCAGAAATGGGTCAGGATAAGATAGTAAGAACATATGATTTGATTTGCTTAATCAGAAATCAATAAATGTCAGTTAATTGATTCTTAACCTTTTGTGATTATTATAATTAGCTGGCCAACTAGGGAGGACTCATCTTAAAGGACTCTGGTCATATTTTGTTACTCAAATGTGATGAGTATCTGAGGAACACAAACTTTGCCATAATATTAGTGTTAAAGCCCTTAGTGAAAAAAAGCTTTTTTTAGCTTTATAAACAACAGCTCGAAACATGTCAGCATGGCTTACCATGCAGCCCAACTTGTTAGCTTGTCTAAAACAACAGCAACCATACAAAATCATCAACCACTAAAAACCCAAATTGTTTAGCCAGAATCACTTTCTGTAACTTTGCCAGACCTGTTCCTCCTGCTGATCTTCATTTGGAAAAAGCTGAGTTGTCTCTAGTATTCAGCGGCTTAGAAAGTCAGGCTTGCAGCAGGAGTTTTTTTGTTCTCATGTACCCCACTTCTCTGATCTCTGGTACCTCAAAGTTCCTGAACACTCAGAGAAATTGCTGAGGCTGCTCAGTCAACATTTTGCTTTTGCAGCAATTTGGTTCAGAAGTTAGCCAACAGTTACACTTACCATTTGATCAGTCTGCAGATTTTGGTCCTTGGCTTGTGGCCTTCCATGATGGTGAACCTCAGAATGGTTAAACGGCAAAAAAGTGATGCAGCTGCTTTGTCCCAAAACTCAAAGGGGGGCAGGATTATATGTCTCTGTTAGAATGACTAGTGAGATGGGCTTTGCGAAAGTTGGAAATTGCATCTTCCTCATCGAATTATCAAGTATAAGATCTGCATGGATATTTGTTCCTAGTGTCCAAAATCAATATCATGGGTTATGGCCAAAAACCTGTATTCAAATATCAAGTGTAAAATCTATGAGGATTACAGAACATTATTCAGTGCGCAAAGCTGTAGCTTATCCATAAACAACTGACCCAAACATCCTTAGTGTATGAGTATGCTTGTGTATATAAGGTCTACAGGTCTCCTTCAGCAGGGACATATACTCAATATCAGGTGCTAGGGGATCCAGATTCATTTCAAAGAACCAAGAGCCAACACAACAATGGTCATAGCCCTAGATTTCCAAACTTACCCCGGAGAACAGGGGCAAAGGTAGGGCAGCACCCACCTAAGATTGGCAGACAAATCCCCAGGGTCCAGACCCCAGCAATGGTTCTAAACCAAAGAGTGTTTACATTGTGAAGTGTTATTTAAAGAGTTTGTCCCGAGTGGTCTCTTCTCAGGAAATAATCAGGGAGAGAAAGCTTAAAGGTGAACACAGAGTTTTCCTTTACAGCAGAGGTGGGCAATTCCAGTTCCTGAGGGCCGCTATCCTGCAACTTTT